ATCTCAGATGGGCCATCGCACAATAACCTATAGGTACCATCAGCTCCAATATTTCCCCTTTTTTTGTGAGTAAAGAATTACAAGTACACTCTGTAGATGTCTTGTCTTTAGAACTGAAGCTGCTGTTTGACAGTAAGTATTCACTGTCATATCAAAAAGATATACTCTTGTCAGGGTGGAAAACCTGGCACCTCTTAGTCTAGTCATCTAGTGGACTGGATTGGACCCTTTGGCGGGGCCGTATGTGTGACACCTCTGTCTCCTTTGTATTTAATGCAGTTTCCTTTCTTTCAGATCCAAGTTCAGTGAACCTGGAGAAGGTGTCTAGTATCATCGTGGATCAGTCTCTAAAGGACCAGGTGTTCAGCAAAGAGGCTGGACGCATCTGCTACACCATTGTGCAGGTCTGTACTGTTCACAGTTTGATCTGCTGTTTGTCCACTCCACAGTAGTTGTCGTCCACGTTCTTTGTTCGAGACACCGAGCAGTATTGAGACCAAAGGGCTTAAGAAACCAGAGCAGGACTTAAACATCTGATTGAGTCTCTTTAACCAAATTCTTAATCCTCTTATCTTATTAATGCCTAACTGGTAGTTTACACTCCAGCAACAAGAGGCTCTTAAGCCAGCTTACCTACACTGATATGCTTCCTGTCTTTTTGTCCGCACTCCACCTTCACTCTGTCCTCTCTCGGTCACCTCGCGCAGGCCGAGGCGAAGCAGAACAACGGAAACGTGTTCAGGAGGAACTTGCTGAACCGCCTCCAGCAGGAGTTCAAGAACCGCGAGGAGACAAGGGGGCGTTCGCTGCAGGAGTGGGTGTGCTACGTCTCATTCATCTGCAACGTCTTCGACTACCTCAAAGTAAGATGTTTCAGAAGTCATCATGTTATCTTGTTGTAATCATGATTACAGAGCAGCATGTTTAAATAAGTCAGGATCAAAGCATCTGCAAAATGGCTTGGATGTATTTCCTTTTAGCTGTCACCTTCTGATGCCTTTGATTATATCTTGTGTTTAATGTAGCAGATGGAAAACACTACAGGTGCCTGTCTTGTTGCTGCAACGTCTTGCTTATATAGTGTGGTAACATGAGTGTTTAATATGTCAGTGGTGGGAAAATAAGCGTGGAAGGTGTGGCCGCAGTTCACTTTCACAGTGACTCAGGTTTCACCCTTGATAATGGCCATTGTCCTTTTGCACAGGTGACAGTAAGTGCTCATTTTTCACTTGTGAGAAAGAATAGTTTTAGTCAGGGACTTAAGTTACCTGAACTTTGACAACAGTCAGCTGTAAGCACGCTCTGTGTTTATCTTGGCCTTTAGGTGAACAACATGCCGATGGTGGCCCTGGTCCATCCTGTGTACGACTGTCTGATCAGGCTGGCCCAACCAGATGCTCTGATGAATGAGGAGGAGGTGAGACACACTGTGTTGTTGTTTCCCCTTTTGTTGTTTTATTAAACTCTTTTACAGTATGTTATATCTGAGAACAAGTCCATATTTTTTCATATATTGTGGCTGCAATAGTTGCAATCTTTGCCAAAATTAAAAGACTGTTCTTACATTCAAAAGAACAATATTGATAGGGAAATTTTTCCCACTGAAAATACTTAGGAGTTTCTGATTTCCCAGGCTGGAGCCTTGCTTCAGGGGCAATGGTAGCAATATTCCTCATGTCTTACATGAGCGTGCACACACAGTGAGTTGCAGATCAGTGTGAGCTTCAGTGTAAGCCCTTCAAAATTAAAACACGTTGCCCAACTCTTCTCCAGCACACAATGCTTTATTCACAAATGTTTTCGGCTATCTTGCCTTCATCGTGTCATGTCACCATAGATATCAAGTGTACAAAACATCATCACCCTTTGCTTTATTACAATAACAGAACATTTTTTTTGTCAGGCGAATCAATTTGCACTTTTATTTGTGATGTAGACAGGTTAGTTGAACTTTTCATCCCATCACGCTTGATTTGCTTTGCTGTCTAACTAGACTAACTAGATCAAACAGGCGCGCTGTCATATTACCCCTATACTAAGATCCCCTCATTGGCTCCATGATGAGTTCAGGATCCTGTTCAAAATTCTCATTGTTACTCACAGAGCATTACACAGTCAGGCTCCGTCTTATGTGGCTGAACTACTTCACCCGTACTCTTCAGCTCGCTCTCTGCTGCAGACGGCAACCTGGCAACCATTACTGTTAAACCTTGCAAGATACCATTAGCCCTGACAAAAAGATTACAAGAGAAATATGAATGACCATAAATGCAAAGCATGTAATATTGCAACCATTTTTCCAGAATATTCTGTTGAAAATATCTTTGATTTTGATTTATTATTAATGGGTAAAAAGATTAGACATCATTTTCAATACAATCAGTAATATAAATATTATTATTATTCCTTATAATATTGCCAAAAAGAAACCAACTCACTGACGTGTCCTCCACATCCCGCTGCAGGTGGACTGCCTGGTGCTGCAGCTTCACCGCATTGGGGAGCAGCTGGAGAAGGTGAACAGCCCGCGAATGGACGAGCTGTTCTTCCTGCTGCGGGACGGCTTCCTGCTCCAGGAGGGCCTCACCTCCATGGCCCGTCTGCTGCTGCTGGAGATCCTGGAGTTCAGGGCCGGAGGTTGGATGCTCAGCAGCACCGCCCACAAGTACTACTACAGTGAAATTGCTGACTAGGATTGTCCCAAGGACATGGGTGCTGAGCAGCTGTTGTGCAGGTGCATTAGCCCACCTTCAGAGCACCTCGGATACCTCTGTGTAGTCACCAGGGTTTCCCCCAGGAAGCTGGTAAGTGGGAGCGGCGGCCGGCGCTGCCCTTAAAGCTTAAAATGATTTTTATTAAAGTGTATTAAGTTCTTCTGATGTTAGTCGAGGCTCACTGTGGGAAATCCTGGGCACCACTGATTATAAAACCAGCAGTTTCATGAAGGACAGGACATCTTCCAGGAAAACAGAGGGTTCTGTGACGACAGAGGTTCATAAACTGTAAAAAGACTTTTGATTTTGCTGGATTGTTCCCTGTGTTTGATAATATTCCTGAGACATGGTGCCGTGGATGTGGAATGTGCAATAGTTCACAAGGTGTTGAAGTGAAGTTAACGAGGTTTAGCCACATTCAGGTACACTTGGTTTTAGAGTTTGATATTTTTTATGTTTTTTTTTTTTTTTTATTAATCTTACAGGCATTCCTGTGTTGAGAAAACATTTCAAAGTCCAACTTATTATTATTATTTTTAACAATCCAAAGGACTTGGAAGAGACATTCCAGTCAGATGCAAGCTGATTTGGTCGTTGCTTTACTTTTTATTGTTGTGTGACCAAATTTAATAGAAAATCAAATAGTTTAATAACCTAGTTTAGTATCTTTTGCGTAGTATTGACATTTTACAAAAGGTTTGAAATGCAGTTCAGAGGAATTTTCTGCCTAATTTGTCCTGTAGGATTCCTGTGTTACTGTTTTGTTATGTGTCATTACGTGAGGCCGTTCTGTCAGATGAAGCATGGTTTCTTAATTCAGGGACCTTCTTTTATTTAATTTCATTTGTTGTAGCTCCACTTACACATAGAAGACCAACAGATTGGCTGCAGTTCATATTAAAGCTGTGTTTCTGCAGATAAATGAGTCAGATGTTTAAAACATTTCTGGATTCACAAGTGTCATTTGTTAAACAACTCGTGCCAACACAACAACAGCATCATCCAGAACTTCTTGACAAAGCCTAAGCTCTTAATTTGATAAGTCGCCAGAGGACAGTGGCGGAAGAAGTGCTCAGATCATTCCCTTAAGTAAAGGCAGCAATACCACAGACAGTGTATAAATAGTTACTGAAACATCATTTATTTGTTGATCATATTTTGTATTTTTAATCAGTAACTGAAGTCATCAAATGAATGTAGTGGAGTGAAACAGTACAATAATACCCTTAAAATTAGTTGAGTAAATGTTCCGAGTTATCATCCAACACCGCTGGAGGAGCAGGTATCTATCCTCCCTTCACATATGCGCAGGTCAGCCAGGAGTTTAAAGCTCGTGGAGACGTATTTTTCCTCTGAATTCAGCACCACCAGCACCAGCTACACCACAACATGTAGCTGAGCTCAGTTTTACGTTGGAGTCTGTTGTTACCTTTGTTGATGCTCAAGTGACAGCTCAACCAGAGCTGTGCCTTGGATTCAGACAGACACAAGCATAGGAGACAAATGTCATGTGGTGAAAATGTTACATCTCTTTGACATTATTTTGAAAAGTTGTACCTGTAATTATATGTAAATAAGCAAAGTGTAAAGGGTAAGTCTGGTGTTTTTAAACCTGGAAGATATTTCTTGTGTCTAAGTGACTAATGGGAATAACGATTTTCAAATTGGTTCAGTATTGAGTGACAGTGATGATGCAAGCAGCGGTAAAACAGGCACAATAAATTGTGTTTCACCACAATAAGATTACTGTTTATTTAGATGGAGTCTGGTGGGTTCGTTTCCATTCATCACTTTGACACAAAAGTATGTTAAAATAGAGTCCTGGTTAAAAAATACCAAACTTCCCCGTTAATATAAATTTGGCAGAGACATCACCCTCTGATCAGTTCAGAGAAAGAATCCTCAATATTAGCAAAGCATTTAATTAAAAGGATTCAGGATATTTTGTATTATATTTCACCAAATCCTTTTTTCTAGTTGTGTTTTAACATTTCCTTACAAGCCTTGGTATTTATCGCCACCTTCAGACCAGGTAGATGAAACAAACTGAGGCTAAATAGGTTTGACGGTGTTTTAAATTGATCCTAAAGAGTTAAATTAGGTCTGACTGCTGTAGACACTCACAGTCCCTTAAAGACAGGGCACAGTTCTGACTGCAATATCTGTTTATATATTTTATTACACTGTTGTGACATTTTTACATCACTCAGTTTCATTTTTTATGGTTGGGTTGTACATTTGATGCAGATTTATTTGTTCTAATAAATCTTGGAAGTTTTTCCTTAACTCAGCTTTATGTGTTTTATTGTGTTCAATCAAGCACGACTGTACATTGTACACAATATTTCTCAATACAAAAAAGTGACTTCACATTTCAGTTGTCCCACAGCACCTTTTACAGTGTGCTCCTTCCACCAAAGGAAAATTGTGGCGTTCATGATTTACAGAAGCGCTTACAGAATCCTCTGTGACCCTCTGCGGCCAACACGTCTGTCCAGTCTTTGAAACGTCTGAGTTTCAGTCCTCCTGCACGGTGTCTTTCTACCACCAACGGTAGTGAGCGTATGCTCTGTTGGCTTCGGCCATCTTGTGCAGCTCAAACTTCTTCTTGATAACGTTGCCCTCCATCTCAGATGCTGCCAGCAGTTCCTGGGAGAGTTTTTCATACATGTGCGTGCGTCGATGTCTGTTCTCTCTGCACTCTGTGATCATCCATTTCATGACGAGGAAGCGACGTCTTTTTTCCGTAAGAGGGATGGGCACCTGGGTGGAGATGAGGACCAAACAGAATTCAATATAAGTTTATTTTTTGTTGGCACAAGCTCAACAACGCGCTGATGTGCCTCATCACTCACCTGGTAGTACTTTCCACCTTTCTGAATGCTGGCCAGCCCAACTACGGGCTTACAGTTCTCCAGAGCCTGGTGAAAAATGGCGTAGGGGTTACACTCGATCTCCTCCTTCTGTCCCACCGGAGCTTTGTGGTATTTCTCCACCTGTTTCCTCTTTATGCTCTCCAGGGTCTGGACGCAGAGAGACAAATTATGATAACTCATATCCTATTAGACCAACAACAACTTTGAGTCAGTGTTTCCTCTTTTACCTGTGCCATGATCTCTTTGGCCAAAACCTTGTTTCCATCTGTCATAATCATGTTGATGAATTTACTGAAAGACAAAAATGATCACTTGACATGAGCTCTCAGATGCACAGCTGTGACTTAACACCTTCCCGCAGTGATGTCTCTGTTGTACCTGATGACTGGATCGTTGAAAACCGAGCTGCTGACTGAATTGGTCGCTGCCTTGATGGGCCTGAGCGCTTTGAGCTCCCGCTGCTCCTTCTCCTCAGCGCTCAGCTCTGCCTCAGGTGTGGTATAAGCTTCCTTCCTGACCTCTGGCTCAAGGTAGTATGGGTTGTATCTGCTCCACCTCACCAGGAACACGCTGCGAACAAAGGACACATGAGAGAGCAGAGTTGCACAGATTAGTTTGTGTGTGTGTGTGTGTGTATGTGTGTGTGTGTGTGTGTGAGGACAGAAGATCCATTTCAAAATCAGCACTTGTCTGAATGAGAGCTGAAACAATTAATCGATTAGTTCATCTAGAGATAAGGAATCAGCAACAATTAAGTGGTGATCATCAAGTGCCAAAAATTCACCGACAGTAAACTGTCGTATTTGCAGTTTTATCATAGTAAATTCAATTTTTTTTTCCGGGTCTGGACTATTGCTGACAGACAAAAGTAAATTGCAGCACATAATTAATTTAATTCTGTCTAGTAGATATATAAATTTATAATCAATAAAATAAAAAAATATTCCAAGCTTCATACATGGTTTTATATCCCTGGAAATTGAAAAAGTTATTGTGTGATCATACATTGCTTAAGATTCACTGGCTGTTAACTATCAAATTTGGATTTTTTTTTTTTTTTTTTTTAAATTATAGTGACATAAATTTCTGTCAGGTCTGGACTGTTACCATCAGACAGAAAAGGCAATTTCAGACTGGACTCCAGGAAATTTTGATGAGCATTTCTACTATTTTAGAAACCAAATAATTGAAAAACTGATTGAGAAAATATTCAGGAGGTTAATTGTTTAAAAAAAACAAAAAACAAAAAACAAAACAATCGTTAGATGCAGCCCCAAATTATTCATTTATTAAATTTAATTATTTTAACTGTATTGTCAATCAAATAAGGAGTCAAATAAAAAGTTTCCAACCTTTTTATTTTATTTATTTATTTATCCATTTATTTATTCAATTTTGCACGTGTTTAGGACTGGTAAAATGATTAGTCGACCAACAGAATAATTATTGGTTATTAACTATTCATATGAATTTGCTGCTGTTTTCAAGTTTAATATAATTGAAAATTTAATAACTTTAGGTTTATTTTATTGCTAAAAAACATTTCATAGATTAAACAACTAAAAAAAAGTAGTTGACATAAATCGACGATGGAAAATAATTGTAGCCACATTGAAGACACTCTTAGAGGACGAAAGTGTCACTTTTAGACAATTTTTAGATTAAATTATTAATTAAGTGATTAATAAAGCTTGACTTTAATGACTTTAGCGGGGTCAGTAATGAAGATAATAGTTTAATTGCATATATTTAACATTAGAGCTAGCTCGCGATGCAACCACGTAATTTACCTTATTGTTTTAATTCTCAATTGCAGGAAAAATACGTTAACAGCGCAGTAACATTCAATAAACAGCTAACAACACATGTTAAATATCTGTATCTTTATAAAACGATAATTACCTTGGTGTCCAAGGTTTTAGTAATCCTGAGATGGAGGCAGCCATCTTGAAAATGTGAGTGTCAGTTAGGACCCCAGCTTAGTACCTCCTGCAGGTGCCTTCGCAAAAATCACAAAAAACGAATTCAAAATCAGTTTCATTCTGCTGATTTTTAATTCAACACCGAGGCCTAATTTTATATTACTTTATTTCTAAAATGGTAGATATATTTTTTTTAATAATTCCGATCAATAATTTTGGACTCTCGCGCACACGCTGGTGACATCACGCGATGTTTATAGTGCTATGGCGTACCAGGAAGGGGAGTCGCTTGAATCTTGGCTCAGTGAGTGATTAATCCCGTTTTATGAATTAAATAATGTGGCTAATTAGCTAGATACATTGCTGCGGGTGATAGGGCGGTAAATACATTAGTACGGAAGCTGTTAGCCCGCTGATAGCCGCTTTGCTGCTGCTACAGGGAGCTAACAGAGGGTCCTGGCTGACAGGCGACTGTGTGCATCATTAGCAGGATGGGTGGAGAGCTTTATTAAACCCTGTCTGGCTCACATTTGCCACTGACAGCTCTGTGATTGTTCAGAGAAGCTGTGCAGATAGTTGTGCCTCAGTAAGGTTTAATACTTGCAGCTGTTGGGCAGAAAACAGATTGGTTTGAATGATGAATGAGCAGCACTGCTGACACAATGAACACCACATCAGCAATTACAAAGTGGAAGAAGGATAACAATTGCTGCTTTGTTATGTTGATCACAAGACTCACAGGGAGCCATGCTCCCAGCAGGATGTGGTGTGTATACTGATGTACATAATGCCTTTCTTGGACAGATAAAGCCACCCATCCTACAAACAGACAGGAGGACTGGGAGTACATCATAGGCTTCTGTGATCAGGTCAACAAGGAGCTAGAAGGGTACGTCTGTCATATATTTGCAACCCCCTCTTTTTAAAAATCATTATCATTATCTCATCTTGTATTTCTTCTTGCAGTCCTCAGATTGCTGTGACTCTGCTCGTCCACAAAATCCACTCGCCACAAGAATGGGAGGCTCTCCAGGCTCTGACAGTAAGGAGTGACTCATCTAAATGTCACCAAGCTCCCCTTTCCTCTTTACTTTGACTTTATCTTAACGACTTTGTGTGCAGGTATTGGAGGCGTGCATGAAGAACTGCGGGAGAAGGTTTCATAATGAAGTTGGAAAATACAGATTTTTGAATGAGCTGATTAAAGTCGTGTCTCCAAAGGTGAGCAGCCTCAAAAAGACTTTATTCATGCACTCAACAGATATATTTTTCCTCAATATTTGGTCACAGATTTGTTAAAATCAGTGTTAGTGAGCAGCATCCACCTGCCAGGTGCTACATATCAAGATGCTGATTGAACAGTTTCATTACTACACAGGTGTGTCTTTGGCTGCTCACAATAAAAGGCCACTCTGAAATGTGCAGCTTGATCACACAATACAGTGACACAGATGTCGTGAGATTTTAAGGAAGTGTGCATGCTGATGGCAGGAATGTCCGCCAGAGCTGTTCCCCATGAACTGAATTATCATTTCCCTAAAAATCTGTTTGCACAGCTGAAGAATTGCTGCACAAACCATCAGAAACCAGCACAGAGAAACATATCTATATACTTATCTTCCTCACCAGGGTCTTGACCTGACAGCATTTTGTCATCATAACTGACTTGTGCAATTGCTAAGTCAGTTGGATGTACTATGAAATTCAGGGAAACAACATTGGAGACATCTTATGGTAGTGATGAACATTCAGGTCAGGGGCAACAGCTCTAGTGGATGTTCCTGCAGTCAGCATGCCAATAGCACGCTCTGTCAAAACGTGGCATTGTGTTGTATGATCAAACTGCACATTTTAGCGTGGCCCTTTAATTGTGACCATCCCAAGGCACACCTGTGTGGTAATGCTGCTGTCAGGTGGATGGATTATTTTGGAAAAGAAGTGCTCACTAACAAGAATTTAAACAAATTTGTGACCAAAATTTAAGACAATATGTCTGTTGAGTGCATAAAAGTCCTAAATCTTCAACTTAAACCTGTGAAAAATGGGAGCAAAAACAAAAGTGTTTACATTAAAATTATGCAGACTGTGTGTCCTACCCATCCAGCTACTTTTAAATCACCCTTTGTTTCCAGTACATGGGTGAGAGCGCACCTGAGAAGGTGAAGACGAAGATAGTTGAGATGCTGTACAGCTGGACGGTGGCTTTTCCAAATGAAACCAAGATTGGTGAAGCCTACCAGACGCTGAGACGACAAGGTGTGTAGCGATCACTCAGATGGCACGATTAACATAATGCGTTTGAAAAGACACCTTATTATAATGCTCACTCTCTCCACCAGGCCTCGTGACACATGACCCGGAGTTACCTCTGGACCGGACTCTGATCCCCTCGCCTCCGACACGACCTAAACATCCAGTGTTTGACAATGAGGACATGGGCAAGGTGAGAGATGTGTTTTGTAATGTTAAACTCAAACAGGCTGATTAAATGTGAAGTAACTCAGGAAAATAGGGGAAGACAACATGGCTCCTCTCTGAATGATTCATGTTTGGCTCTTGATTAAAGACATTCCCAAGAAATGAAGGGCAGCATCGCCAAAAGTTAAGCAGAATCATTTGTTCTAGGTTAAAACATGGGCTGTCCAATTATTAGTAAATGACAGTACAGTACACACAGTTGTACGTGTTTAAGTGTGTGTCTGTTTGTGTGTTTAGCTGCTTGCTGAGCTTCTCCGCAGTAAAAATCCAGAGGACCTCCAGGAAGCCAACAGATTGATCAAAAACATGGTGAAAGAGGTAAGAGCTGTATCGAATATTTTCTTGCCCCACGAGGTACTACAGGGACTCATGACATTAAGTCATTAAAGTAGTTTACAGTAACATTGTGTCTCGTTGTTTTGTCAGGATGAGGCTCGAGTGCAGAAGGTCACAAAGCGTATAAACACACTGGAGGAGGTGAACATCAATGTGAAGCTGCTTACGGAGATGCTGTCCCACTACAACAAAGACAGCTCCACTGAATCAGACAAGGATATCATTAAGGTGTGTACCCGTGCACAAACACACACACACACACTCACACACATTTTAGATGGTAAACTATAGCTGAGTCCAAATGTCCACCCTGTGAACCAGTGACTGTACATGAAGATTTCCTCACACTGTACAAAAATGAAGCCACAATATCCCGGATACGGCTGCTGCCATCTTGCTCTGGCGACGTCATTTGGAGCCAGAGTTTGTGCAGTAGCGACCTCTGCAGTATCGAGTTCCCACTTATACACCCATCCAACCAGTCGTGAAGACACCATTGATCGCGGGGACACTAGTTGGCACACACAGCTGTCAATAATGACGTCACATCCCCTTTTTATAGCATCGAAATAGCTAATATAAACCAAACTTGGAAGAAAATTCACACTTGAACAAACATCAGCGTGATAAGAAATACCTAAAATGGCAGAAACCATCTTTAGGAAAAATATATTTGACATGCACTTTGAGTTTTTAGTTTGGGCCATATCCCGTCTGCTAAAATGGAGAGAGCTGGCTTTATGACCTGTACTGCAGCCAGCCACCAGGGGGCGATGGAGATGCTCTGGCTTCACTTTTGGGGAGAAGTGATTGCTACCACATTTATATACAGTTTGTGCTCTGGACTTGCAGACTGAGCCCACTCAGACTTAAGTCATACGTACTGTGAAGTGTGCACTGTGGACACGTAAAGTCCGTGAGTCAGCACACTGTCACATCCATGTTGCAGTGAATTATGGGTATTTAAATCAGTGGGTCTGGTGAAGACTGCAGCCTGAGCAAACTTTGGAAGTCTGCAGAAAGTCCACCTGAGGCCTCTTGAACTGTGGCTTTGGACAGCCCTCAGCACTTGCAGCCTTCCCGGGAACACACCCTCAAATTCTGCAAGTGTGGTGAAGTTCGGACATTTGGATTTAGTCTATATAAATAACAGCAGAGAGAAAAACAACTTTACCAGATGTAGAAACATTTTGTTCGTGTCCTCTCCATTTTGATTTTGTACTAGTGTCTCATACTGACACTGGGCTTGTTTGAAATCACACAATCAACTCTGTCATCCTGAGAAAGTTCATCTGGTACACAACTCATTTTATCTCTTCTTCCATCAGTGTCATTTGCAATAATGCATCAAAGGCAGCTAGGAGATTATGATGATTCAGGGTTTTGAAGGGAAGACGCCAGATGTGGAGCTGGCGTGGTTACACATGGTCTGCATTTGTGTGGCCAGTTGTAAAAACAAAAGTGTTGCTTTTATATTTTTCTCAGTGTATTTTATGTGTTTGCAATGTGATGTGTATGTAGATAAACTGTCTTAACTAACTACAGAGATTCCAGCACCAGCTGGTGTCACAGCCTCATTTAATCTTCACAGTGCCGTCTTTGTTTTTCCTCTCAGGAACTGTATGAGCGGTGTGACAAGCTGAGACGTGCTGCTTTCAAAATGGCCACTGAGACAGAGGACAATGACACCAGTTTAGGTTTGTTTGGTATTTTCTCATCTGAAGAAGCCCTGTCTTGACTTCTTGATCATTGTGTGTAATCTGTAATGTTTGACTCCTCAGGTGACATCCTGCAGGCCAGCGATGACCTCTCCAGGGTCATCAACTCTTACAAGAAGATAGTTGAGGGGCAGCCCATCAACGGCGACAGCGAAGAGCCTCGATCGACAACTGGTCATAGTGAGAGTGGTAAGAGGCATTTTATAATCAGGAACATTTTACATTTAACTGTGAGTGCTTTGTGCTCTAGATATCCTGCCGCTGTGTAATTAATCCAGCAGCTGCAATCAATCTCATTTCAACAGAGACCACAGACACGCTGATCGATCTCGCCGGCCTCGACACTCCGAGCCCTCCTCAACCTGCAGCCCCTCCCTTCCAGACCTCAGATCTTGTCCCCACCACTCTAACAGCTTCCCCCATCCCTGTCCTGCCGCCTCCTCCCAAACGCTTGGCCGGCTCCCATGGCAGTCAGAGCAGCAGCCCAAGTCACCCCCCCCTCGACAAGGCTTC